TGAGGATATTTTTTCCATTGATTTTTTAGTGAGAGTGGAAGGGAGGGGGGAGGAGAGAGAGAGAGAGAGAGAGAGAGAGAGAGAGAGAGAACATCAATGTGACACACACTGATTGGCTGCCTCCCACTTGTGCCTCAACCAGGGTCGGGGATTGAACCTGCAACCGAGGTATGTGCCCTTGACTGGGAATCGGACTCTCAACTCTTTGATGTGTGGGCCAACACTCTAACCATTGAGCAAAACAGGTCAGGGCCTTTCTCAATTTCTGAGCCCTTCCCTTCTAGGGCTGTTGTGAAAATTAAATGACATACGAGTTGAAGACCATATACTATTTGGGAAATAATAAAGATAATAGATCTTTTTTACCTAGATGCAACTAGAGATCATAGAAAACGTAGATGAGTGTAGGCTGGAGATATGATCTTGTTCTAGAAATATGAATATATTTTGAATTGACACAAGGATGAAGTACATTTCATTAAAGAGAAAATGAAGATAATTTATGTGTAGCCCTACAAACATGACTCATAGAATAGAACCATAAAACAATTTGTCTTTGTCTCACTGTGTCTTTTAAATGTATACTACGGAGCTAATATTTTTTCTTGCCCCTGGATGAAATTTAAGCTACATCCCCACATGACCCCTTCTTTATTTACCCTCTGGCCTGGCAGTGACTTCCGGCTTTCTTCCTCCAGGAGACTTCCTAGATCAGGCTGGAAGATGACCCTACTCTGGCTCTCTCATGTCAGCGGCCACCTCTCATCCACTGAAGATATTTGCTCATCCTTTGCCCTCATGACCTCTGCACTTGGTCCCAACACGGCTACTTTCCTAGTTGCCTGGCGAAGCCATCTGCTCTCCTGTCTCCTGCCACTGAGATTTCTCTGGCATCAGCCGGCCCAGTTCACTGTATCCTTGAAGCTCCAGAGGACATGTGTTGAGCTTTGTGAGTGTCTTACAGACGCCTCTTTCCCCAAGCTTGAGGTGAGGAGAAGCATCCTGCACTATCACCTGGGGACAGGAGAGTCACAACCCCAAGCCTCCAATATGCCCCCAAGTCCAGCACGCTGCAGAAGCCCCATACATGGAAGCCATCCCGGGCTTCTGATCCTGCCTCCCACTGCCCCTGTCCTGACAAGTCCCAAGCCCTAAGTCCCCAAGGCAACCCCTAAGTGACACAGTTATCGAGAGCCACCCCGGGATTCCACTCCAAGCCAAAACGGGCCTTTCTGGGCTTTGCCAACTCTCTTCAGGGAGAATTGTTCCCACCCCTCCATTGTGAGGCCAGGTGGGTGGGTGAGAGGGAGAAAGGTGTCCCAGCCACAGGAGCAGTGTCCCAAGCAGGCACCAAGCAACCCCCACATGGGCTGCCCTGTTGTGTATTTTTCCTGTTAAGGACTTAATCTGGGAACCCATTGAGGGAATTATGAGGCCCCTTGCTCACTGTGACCAAAAGCGTTTCGGGTAGTGCCAGGCCTGGAGGCAGAATGAAAACCTTTGCCCCAGGAAACAGAAGAGGAGAAAGCTGAAGAGAGGAAGGCAGTGGGTGTAGAGGGAGTGAGTCCGAGTTGCACTGGGGAGAAACCTAGGGTCCGAGGGTCAGGCCAGAAGCCCTGGAGGAGGGATCTGGGTCCTGTTCTCAGCTGGCCCAGGAGGATACAGATGGTCTGGAAGGCCAGGCAGTACCCTAGGAACGTCCACACTGGCAAGGCCTATCTCAGATGATTAAATGACAGCAGAAAAATTTAACTAAACATGAGTAATGGGAACACAAAGGGAACGTGAAGAGAAATAGAATATTTTAGCAACATAAGGAAATGGGAAGAAAATGACTTTGCAATGAAATGTCAAACTTCTGTGCCTGGAGGAGATGTAATCTGGTCATTATAGGCTCAGGGAAGCGGGGGAGTGTGTGGTTATTTCAAGCAAATTTTAATTCACTTTAATTTAATAACATATGGCCAAGTTCTTTTGGGACAGTGTTAGGGGACCGAAACGGGAACCGGAGAGTGCCAGCCCTGTTGACTTGGGTGTTTCTTGTTTGTTGTTTTACAATGAGGAGCTGTGCTTATATTCATTCATCCAGCCATTCATTCATGGAGTGCATGTTAAAGCCTAAGGATTAAGAAAACAAATGACTCAGCCCTACCTGCCCCTGCCCCCAGGAGATCCTGGTCAACTGGGGAGACAGTCAAGTAAATAGAAAGTTACAATGTAGGGCCACATTCTGAACCTAACACTTGGTGCTCAATGGGAGTTTGTGGAATGAAAATGCATGGTTGGAAGGGTGGTTCTGAGAAGGCACCAGAAAGGAGTAAACATTAAGCTGGGTTTTGAAGGATGAATAAGAGTTCACTAGGTAAGCAAGCAAGTCAGAAGCAGTCCGGGTAGAAGAGACTACATATGACATGGTACAATGGATCACATGTAGCAAAGGGGTGCTGGTTACAATCATGAGGCTGGAGGAGATTGCCCAGGAAAGGGGGAGAGGATTAGAAGAGGAAAAGGGCAAGAAAGAGATGCAGGATCAGTGGATCACTGATGAGAAATAATCCCTCAGGAAGGAAAACTCTGAAGAGAGGACCTGTTAGCCCACCTAAAGCTCACCACCACTGAAATCTCTACTCCAACTACAGATGCCTATTCATCCTTAGAGCTCAATTCAGCATCACTTTCCCCAAGGAGCCATTCTTTCTGGCTCAGGCTGTAGTGGGTCTTCCCATGCATGCTCCTCAAACATCCTGTTCCACCAACCTTGTCACTGCTCGTCTCTACCCCCAAGGGTCAGCTTGTCTCGATGCTTGCCCATCTCCCACCTAAGGCTGCCGTGTCCAGCTCTGGTGATGCTCCCCCCCACCACCACCACCACACTCATGCCTACCTGGATTCTGGCCAGGCTGTCCTGTCTATGGGATCTCATCCTAAGGCTGGACAAGGTCCATATGGAGAAGTAGCTCCAGAAGCTGAGGTCTGGATCTAGGGCTGCTTAGGGGCGGGGGAAGCGGGGAGGTGTGGGGGCTGGCCAAGGGAAGGGTATTTTAGTTTACATCACATCAGACTTTGCAGTCTTTAAGGGGCTGTGGAAGTACCTGGGTAAAAGCCCTTCTTATGTCCCCAGGAGCCTGGTTGAAAGGGTTGGCTGGTTAGGGCTATTGTGTCTAGGTGACAAAGACAGAGAGGCCTGGCCCCAGGGCAGAGAAGACAAATGGTTAAAGAGGCGGAGTGGGGAGCGGACTCACTGAAGCCAAGGCTAAGGACAGGGTCTAGCAGTACAGCGGACCATGTCACAAGCCATCACCTCTCTCTGGACAGAGCTGCCAAGAGGGAACACACGCCCCTCAAGGGAAATGATGGATTTGCAGGTGTCCTGGGTGTCCACTAGGGGGCAACAGAAGTTAAGCCAGCTGGCGGGTCGCCATGGTAACCGAGGACCATGACGCTATGTTATCCCTAGAAAAGGCAGGTAGGTTCGGAGAACACCCAAGCATGGCGTCCCGGATACCACCAAGTCAGTAGCCATCAGTTTCAAGCAAAGGCCCAGGCAGGGACAAAGGACCCAGCGTGTGAAGAGGTTTGGGGGCACCACTGGGGCACCTGGAGGCCCCTGCCAATCTCCCTATATTAGAGGTTGTTATGAATCTGATTCTGCTATTTTCTCCTACTGTCTGTCATTCATGGGTCCTTGTTTCTTATATGTGTTTTGTAATTCAAGACTCTGAGCTCATATTTCTTGGTATCATATTTGGGGAAGCCTGGGCTGAAGGCCAGTTCCTCCAGGCAGGATGTGTGTTCACTTCTGCCAGGTTCCTGGAAGCACTGTTAGCTGGGACCAATACATAAATTCTCAGTTTGCAGCTTTTTAGAGGACCTAGGGACTGTGAATTCAGGCTGCAAATCCACATAGGGACCAGCTTATACTTAACAAATTCTCAGGTTCCAAGATTTGAAATAGGCAATTTACCTGTGTTCACCCTTGGAGTACCAATTAAAAATGTTTTTTTCTCATTGATTTTAGAAAGAGGAAAGGAGAGAGGAAAAATATTAATGTGAGATAGAAATATCGATTGCTTGCCTCCCTCATGTGCCACAACCAGGGATCAAACCCACAATCTCGGTATGTGCCCTGACCAGGTATTGAACCTGCCACCTTTTTGTATACGGGATGATGGTCCAACCAACTGAGCCACACTGGCCAGGGTCTTGAAGTTCCAATTTGTATTGATATGTGTGTGTATGGCACTTGAGTTTCACCTGGTGCCTATAGGACCATGAAAAACAAAGCTCTTTGGCAAATGATTTCCAGGTGGAAACTAGCTCTCAGTGTTTCATCTACCTCTCTAAGTTATTATTTTTGCCTAATTTTTGGCCTCGGTGCATGCCTTATGAATTTTCCAGCTCACCAATGCATTTTAAGAGATTTAAAAAACAATTTCATCCACCACTAAAGTTGCTTAGCCACGCTGGTGGAAACATACGTGCATTTGTGAGTTCCTTAGAGAAACCCACGGATACCTGACTTGGGAGATCTGGCTCCACTTCAGTCTCCCCCAGTTAATCCCAAAACTTCTTACAGTTCTGAGCTGCCCTCACCCCCACCCCAGGGGCCAGCTGGTTAAAGCTCAATTATTTTCCAGTTCATCCACTTACTACACAAACAATGAATACTCACGTTGCTCTCCTTACACTCAGCCTGTTCTCTAATTCCCCTTTCCCTTGATCTGGGAAGCACTGGGTAGTATATAAACCCTCCCCTTCTCTGAGTGCTGTCAGTGTTTGAGCGGCTTGCTTTCTTACATTCATCTTGGAGGTGGGCAGTAGAACATCACATTCCCCACTAGGTGGAGGCCTTGCTACTCTGAGGAATTCTTTTCTTTCTCCCATCCTAATCTCTTTATAGGGGTAATGGGGTGGTGTTGGGCCATGATTAATAACAGTAGCAGGGCAAATTCAGCACCTAACCCGTTTGTAAGATCTGAGAGTATCTATCCCCAAATGTTTTATCTCTCTTTAGAATGCAGAATAATTTAATCTCAGCCCGGGGTCCTGGTTACCATTTCTGGGACAACAGGAAAAGTTTCTCCCCTCCTAGTAGTAAGTGATTCATTTGGTTTCTCCCCTCGTAGTAGTGATTCCATTGCTGCTGCTAATCCAGTGGCTCCCATCACACTCAAAGTCCACACTTGGGTAGTTCAGTTGGTTAGAGTGTAGTCCTGAAATGCCAAGGTTGTAGGTCCAATCCCCCGTCAGGGCACACACAAGAATCAACCTATGAATGTATAAGTGAAACAACAAATCGATGTTTCTCTCTCTGAAATTACTTTGTTGATCTGTTTACGTATTGCCCTCTTCCACAGGAGTGCAAGCCGCGCCCCCAAAGCCGGGTCTTTCTGTCCGATATATGCTGTATCCCGCCCCTACCAACATGCCCAGGCGCCAGAGGAGCGCTGTGACTTATTGGAAGAGATGGACATTACAGTATTCAATCCCAGCTCCGTCTGCGCCCGGAAAGATGTGCGCCTTACTCCCCGGCGGCCTCTGAGGGGCCGCGCGCGGGGGCCTCTGGGAAGTGTAGTCCGCGCGCTCGCCGGACCCCTGGGTTGCTGGAGCGAGACTCCGCGTGCGCAGGCGCACTTCCGGCTCTGCCCAGTCGCTGCGGCCATTGTCCAGCCCCGGGGCGGCTAAGGAGGCTTAGGGCCTCACCTCCGCACAGCAGAATTGGAGAGGACTGAGCCGGAGGCGGGGGCGAGAGGAGCCGGCCCAAACCTTGGGTGGGGCTGAGATCGCAAAACCCGGAAACTCCAGGAGGCAGTGATTTTGAGTGTGCGGGTAGGAGCGGCACCTCCCACGAGTTTGGCGCGTGTCTGCGGGGCCGCGCCCACCATCCTGCGGGTGGGACTGGGCGTGGCCAGAGGAGGGTGTCCTCGACTCGGTAGGCGTTTAATTTGGGGGAGGGGGTGCG